CGTGCTCGCGGCGCTGAGGTTGTTCGAGTTAGGTTGGCGTGGCTGTGTATGGTCTACGACGAGGTACACGCTGGCGCATTGAAAAGGCTGCTGTGGTTATAGACATATCCACCAATTGAAATAAGCTTGGGCTAGCATTATGGGGCAGTAAGTTTCCATTGAATTCTAGCTAACAATGATCAAATGGAATGCACCCGAATGGAATGCATAAAATTTGGGAAAGGAATTCCCTCTCTCTTCTCTTTTCCTTCGCAGATGTTTGAAAAGGCATGTTGCAGCGAGACGCTACTCCGCAGCGGGGAATTCCTTCCAAAACGCTCCAAAAACGTGCGAGTACCGCACCTAAAGATTAGTTCCCTCGACTCAGTAGTACTACTATGTTTGCACTACAGAGCAACAGCTTCAGGATGGACGCAGTATACTTTGCAATATTTGTAAAGCACGTCCTTTTAGAACTATATTATACAACCAATATATATAGGTATCCTTTATTACTAGCGGTCTGTCCTCGAACATGTTGTCTCAGAGTGTGTGAACAGGACGCTCGAGTCGCTCCTAACTGTACCTAGGCGAGCGAGAGCTTTTTAAATCTAGAGAGACTGGACTCATTAACTATTTTCAGACCCATAGCTATCATATCATCACACTTAGAAAGAGAGAAGGTGCATAAATTCGTCCTTTCCAAACTAACTTTTCGCTCATGCAATTAGAGCAAGCTTCCCCTTGCCTCTTTTCCCTAGTTCATACGCCACCCCATTCCTAAAAAGCATCCATGTCCCATGTAATATCCTTCCTCGCCGCCTCAACTCCAACGCCTAGGATTAACTTAGTAAGCTTATTACCTTCCTTATCAATAAATCGCGAATATTCATCTACTTACAACAAGGTCATGAGACGGTTGGGTTCTGCAAGGAATGATTTGTAATGCTTGTGCTTGCTGCAGAAAACATCAACTGCTTATCCGTAATGGTAAACCTTCGAGCGTCACGCAGCGATCTCTCCGAGTCCCAACACCCTACTCAAACAGTGATGGTGGCGTGTCCTTGAGTGTTTGATAAGGCTATGCGCCGAATTCCCTAGTCACAAAACCACGCTCCAGCTGCAGATGCTGGCGCTGACTTGGGGCCTACTCTATTCATAACCACCGACGTCCCTAATATCTCTGGCTTCACAAGAACTCATCATCATCCTAAGGCCACAATGCTGCTCGCTCTAGCGCTTATCAGCCTTGCCGCCCTCGTACTGGTCCTTGCCTTCGCCCCCTTCCTCTATTGATCGTCAATATCCCGTTTCTGTGAAAGAGCCATGCTCTTTGCTGTTGATCTTGAACTATAGGACCGCGTGTTTCAACAAGCTTTTCCAAACATTCGAGGCTAAATCCGACTTGTGAGGCTTGCCGGAGAGCTGAGGAAGAAAGTGGATCTTCTATTCAATCATGATTGTGTTGCTTTTCCCTTATAATAATGATCCAGGAAGAGAGCCGAGCGCGATAGTTGATTGTGAGAGAGAACGGGCAGTTATTTTGGGGTTGAAGCTTGATAGATTTTCTTGCTTCCTCGAGCCTTCTCATTGGTGCCGCCGCGTTGTCAACGCACTTCACAACGCGTTACAATTGGATTTCGCGTTGCACTTCGAGCTTTTCTAATTACGAATTCTTTAGCTTCTTCTGACTGCTTTATAGCCTTAATGCTGCCTTAAATGACGGAAAAGCTTGCTGATCAAGAAATTCCATAAAATTGAAGAAAAGAATAAAGAAAAACGGCCTATAGGCGTGTGGTGATGTTGAATGTGTTGAAGGTTGTGGTGTTGAGCTTTTTTGGGGTAGCTAGCAACGCGTGCACGCAACTATCGGGAAAATAATACGTTAACTTCTCCTCACTTTTACCTCAATTACCCACTTGAATAATAATGCTACTTGCATAGAACAGCAGATGATAAATCGAAAGTACCTTTACTAGGGAAATGCGCTTAAAATGACCTATCCTAGATGGGGTTTAGTTGTAGGTCGGTATTTGAAAAATGTAGATTGTTATTTGGGGATTCAGAGACGGCGCGCTGCAGGCGGAACACATATGTAGCTAAGCCGCGGCAAGGGTGAAGACATAATTGTGTGTGAAGTACGGAGTACTCTATGTTTATCACAAACGAATTATGATACTGTGGTAGGGGCTCCAAGCCGTTTCTGAGCTTCTTATCCCACGTACTCTGCAATAAGCTTGTGCGTTTTCTTTGCGATAGGCTTGGCGCTAGTTTAGCAATACGCGTTCGCTCGTCACACAAGACATGCAGCACACGCAAAGTCTTCCTTACTTCAGCACTTCCGGCGTTAAATGATGACAGTATCCAATTAACGGAATTTCTGTGGCGACTAAGCCTGAGATGGTTGTTATATCAACCACATGGAGAGCCTGAAGCCGGGGTGATAACTGATGTGTGTGCATATTAGTTCGTACTTGTACGGCCGAGATTCTTTCCGTCCCGACTCACGGCGGCACGACCGTTACGTGAAAGAGTCATACTACCATGTCACAACGTCTCGTGTCATATGTCATTTTTTTTCTTATTAGCGTTAACCTTTGATCTCAGGCTCCCCCAGAAAATCAGGTACTTGCTCATGCCCCTTTTGTTTCCCTAGGGTAGATTCCCAAGGGATAAACCTAGAATAAGTTCTTCGAGTTTATGTTGGCGGATAGGTAAGGAAACCTGCGGGCAGTACATTATAGGGAGCATCGTCTCGCATCTCTCTTATTTACATATCTAGGATTTCCGCTAAACTAGATGTCTCAGGGCACCTTCCAAGCTTTCTTTTCGTTGAGTGAGTGGACGCTCCTGATTGGGCTGTCGGTTTATAGTTAATCCCTAACCGTCTGCTTTGTGGGCTTGTTATTTTTTTACCCCTCATATAGATGTAAAGATCGGTCGCCGAGTGCGCTAAAAAGGAATATACGTACATGGACATGCTGTAACATGCATCGAGGGATATAAGCATAAACCCATATTATAACCGCTGCTGAAGGGCTAGTGCATATGCTACGACTATATATTCCTTACGTCTCGCATATCCCGCACAGGATGAGCCGCAGATGTTCATTCGGGCCCACAAGATTGGAAATTGCTTACACTGCAGCAGTGGATAGATGGAATAACATCGACGAAGACAAGTATTCATCTCAATGAACATATCTAGGGCTGTTGAGCAGGGGAAAACAGTTTTTACTACCTTTCGGATTGTAAACGCAACAGCTGAAGCTTTTGCCCGGAACTTTAGGAAATATGAGATGCCAGGCCTGAGAGGATTTAGCGAGCGGCGTCAAGAGCTAGGCGTTTGATGAAGGAGAATTTCAGTAGTAATTTCTAGCATCTGATGAATTTGTTAAACTCGATGCAGTTGATTACATATGTACCTAATAAAAGGAGTGCCTTAGAATGATTTCTGTAGTAGTCGGATCATCTCCTTAAGCGCTGAGTCATGGATCGACCCGCTTTTTCCTTGGGACACCAAACATTTACTTCACATTACTATTGAAAGGTTAGGGTTGTTGGATGTTGAATTTGGGACGCTAGATATCGGGTTCTTTCTCCTACTCCTACTACTACAAGGTTGTCGTCTTGCACCCCTCTCTCTCTATGCCGCCGTTGCATCGCGGCCATATTATCACGGTCGAATAGAAGCGGGGCATGTGCTGCGATCATGGGGCCTATTCCGTATTAGGTAATAGTGCGAGATGCAAGTCTATAAAGTTGGCCCACTGGCTGACTGGGCGCAGGATTATCCCCGTTATTTCACGCCCCTAGCCCTGCAAGAGTGCGTACCGGACATGGGTGGCGTGTTGTGGCCCGTTTGCCACGACATTGTTTGTTACGACTTCAATTACAAGACATTTCATTATCCCTGACGGCATTCGATCGACGGCCCAGCCCGTGTCAGCCATGGACCCGTCGTCGTCATACATTATTACATGGTGTTTATGTTGTCGCTGAACGTTGCAGTGGAGACAGGTGCTATGTATGTAGAACCAGCGGCAAACGTAAATTTAAGTCCGTTATGCCGGACTATGTCATCAGATGCTTTCAGCTCGCCGGAAAAAGTGGTTTCTTTGCCTAATGACCACATACAATCCAGGGCGTAGACCATATTCTCCACCACCTTTAAGCTCTAGCCTATGGAGTCCTTGCAAAGGTTTCCTATGACGCAGTTAAACAGGCACCACATGTTTGGTGAGATAACAGTTATAGCCTGTTTTCAATCACTTAATAGCTATGGCGCACATGTACTTATCTACTGAGATATGTCGCTTCTGTGGTCATCTCAGGAGGAAATCATGTTCAAAGAGTCGGACGCTCCTATGCACTACTGTGTTCAGAGTCCCGTGTACTGTATCGCGTGTAAAAAATCAGCTTGGCCAACTAGTGCTGTCTTAATATGTCAGTACATGATTCAAATGACTTGCTAGAAAGGATTATCCTCAAAGTATGGCCTCTGAGCTATTTGCGAGCTTAAGCTATAACGGGAGACTGAGACTTTGGGTGGATGCAATGTATCCCTTACATGGCTTGAGTTAAGACACCAGAGATGGATTGTCACTGCGTAGCCCAATATATGTCAAAAAAGTCTGATCTAAGGCGGTGCGTTTAGGACCAAATCAAACGAGAGTGAATACCGACCTATATCGCCGGCATATATTGCAGGTTTGTAATGTTCTGAGCATCTTAACTCATATCCATCTAGGATTTCTTCCCTTCAGATACATCTCTGTTTACAATTAGCAGCCTACATCGATACAGCTAAGCTCAGCGTCTCTGCCTCAGAGATGGCGGATAATTTATATACATGGCCGTCTAACAACGACAGTTTCGCCCCTTGTTACGAACCAAAGGAATATTCTCTGGAATATGTCAGCCCCTCGAAACTTCAGTGCTACTCGGAATTGCGCATGGGGCGATACTACCAGCACGATGGATCTGTGTCTATATCTTGGTCGCCAAGTCAAAGAAACGAGATGATGATACATCAAGCCGCCCAAGGCGATACGGCTGATCTTCAAAAGGAGACTCTAAAGCAAAGAGTGGTGGTGCCTAAGAAGAATGCCGGTTTATACGACGTTGTACAAAAGGCTATGCGCAAGTGTGACTACCCCAACTGCTGCAAAGCTTTCAGGAGGAGTGAGCACCTCAAGCGTCACAAGCAAACGTAAGTGTCGTCTAAGCGCAGCAGGGCATGCTATATCAGAGTGCTGATCTATTCATTAGGTTCCATGGAGAGGGCCCCAATAGATTTTCTTGCGAGTTCTGCGGGAAAGATCAGTTTAATCGCCAAGACAACCTCAACAACCATCGCAAACTACACGCTCGTCCCAATAACCGAAAACGCGGAGTTGAGTTCATCGCTGCTGCGGTACCTGTTATTGAGCAAGAGGAGCGAAGCCGTAAGAGACGAGCAACTTCCAAGTCAAGAGTTTTCGATTCGAATCACAGTAGCTGAGAAGTGTGCAAGCAGCTGCTGAGGACATCTTTACATGGATACAGGGAATTAAGTGAGCCTATTCCACACAGACTCATCTTTCCATCCACCAGTTAGGCAAACCAAGCCCGACGGGCACTAACTCGTTGGGAATGACCGGGACGATGATGGGTTTGTGGGGTGGCAGGCTTGCGGGGCGGCCATCAGGTAGTAGCACATAGAAATTCCCTTTTCTTGTGTTTTGAATTCATACTAGACGCCAAAGTCTTTTCCCAGAGCCATTTCTATTGGTATTCCCCAATCGCGACGCTCCGTTCGGCGACTACTGCTCCAGCGGACAGCTATTCTTTGTCTATCCTTCACACACGCCACATATGCTCTTAGGGCAATTTCGCCAAATAAAGCAATAGCAAAAGCAATATCGCTCTGGCATCTATGGAAACCATTCCCATCAATTTTTCTTACCGTCCTTGTTTTAGTCATGCATGGGAGGATGGATACGTATACAGTTAATGCTCGCCTTCCCTTTTACTATTTTATTTCGTTTCCTTCCTCGAACACTATCCAAGTACCACCCCACCCCCTCATTCATTTATTACGCCCGGTGGAAAGTCCAAAAGGGCAACTATGAACCTATGGCACATACACATTCTGTGGCTTGGGTCCCAGGACACAAAGACATACATGGCAACGAAGTAGCAGACAAACTCGCAAAGGAAGGGTCAGAGCTTCCGACACCACCATCCAGGACTGCAACGATAAACCAAATCAAGAGGTGGGCCAGAAGCGAGAGGAGACGGCTCTGGGAGCTAGACTGGGACCAGAACCGACCGCCTTACTACAGACGCTGGCGACTAGACGCCCTTCCCAAACCTCCAGAACTACAGTTACCAAGGGCTATACTCCACAGGTTGTATGCGGAGAGAACGGGACATTGAGACTTCGTGGAATACCACGAAAGGTTTGGACATGACACCAGGCCCACCTGCAAGTGCGGCGAGCCAAGGACACAAGGCCATTTTGTGGAATGCAGAATGGTACGACCCTTCCTACCGGAAGTCCCTGAAAAAGACCTCCGGGCGGGGCATCACCCTCGTCACCTATCTATTAGGCCCTGACGGATACAACACTTCCAGACATTAGTGGAGGACACGAGCCCCTATTGGCCTGCCCCCCAAGAGACAGATAGACACAAAACCTTCCTTTGTCTCGTATGACACGTAGCGAATGCGGAGTCTGAACCAGCGGCTCCTACCGTCCTATTGCCCAGAAGGGATTTATGTAACTAGCTTACTTAGTGGACGTTAATAATAAAACAAACAAACAAAACCTCACCAAAGCCTCGGGAATAAACATGCCCCAATATTACGTGCCTATAAAATGAAAGAACGGGTACCCATGCAGCCCTCCCTCGGCAATGGTGCTTAAAGTTTGCCTTTTTGACTCCGGTACTTTCGGCTGCTAAACGGCGCGTGCATTATAGACGCCGTAGAGACCAGCCATGGTACAGGTTTAAATCATTCGGCGGACTCTCCCATGGACCAAATGCCGGGCGGCTCATTCATTCGTCGTTAAAAGGTTCTTATCATTTCCAGTCTCTGCTCTAGGAAGCTGATCAGAAGAGACATGGTTTGGCATCGACATCGTAGTGGAGGAGCCGGCAAAAGCGGCCATTTGCCTTGCCGTGTGCTGATATAGAAAGCGATCATATTCTTCTTGGCTCATGAACTGTTGTGTGGACTGTTGTGTGGCCTGAGCGGTAGTTGTTGGGATTTTATAAGTAGACATGGCTGAGAACATTAAGTGGCATCTTAAATCTATTTGATCTACCTTGCACCACTCGCTGGTTGAGTCCTAGCTTGGCTTATATACCCTCAAGTAATATGAGCCACGCCGAATCTGAGAATCGGTCTCGACGCTTCCTACAGGGATTCTAATTCGACGCTGTGTCCCAATGGGTTGTCTATTCACCCCAACCTACCAATGACTACCGCTATGGCATTTGCATCTTTGACCTCTGAGACAGCTTGCCACTCCGTCGTTCTATTGTGAAAGATTTCAAATCCAGATTCTGGTTGGGTGACGGAGATACTCCGTGTGCCCACTTTTGTGCTCATGGGGCTGCCGGTGGCTAAATACCGACTAAGCTCGGACTTCCCCAAAAAAAAACCAGGTACTTGCTCATGCCCCTTTTGCTTCCTCTAACTAGTTCCCGTGCCACTTTCCTTCCAAGCCTTACCGCTAGCCCCACGCCGTCGTAACTACTCCGCCTCCTCGGCGGGGATTTGCGAACAAAGAAGTTTTGGTGACCATCACGATCTATTATCGGCGTACTAAATGCATGGACCCACGGTGAATGTTTGGGGCTGGCTCATCACATTATACGATGCTCGGCTGAGGCGATAATTCCCTAGTGTCATGAACGCATCTTTCTCACGGCTCGGAGGTAATATCCAGCCTGCCGTCGTGGTGGACGATTCTGACGCCAATTCCATCCGGGACCCGGGACCAAATATACATTACACAGGACCTTAATTGCGGCATCGAAAGAAAAAAAGGTGCGGTATTGGTGGTCGGTATTCCAAATCGAATCTTCCGAGTGTAAAATTCTGGGTGGTGAACATCTGAACAAGGCTGGCCGGTGGCTACGGCTATTGCACATTGTGTACACAGTCTTGAATTCGAGTCTACCAAGAAGGGGCATCCGTGTATGGAGGCATGGGCGCAGCTCTTATTGGAAAGTGATGCTGTTACTTGCGTGTAATTGCACAGCTGGTCGCTGCTCTTGAGAAAGAGAGAGTACATTAACGAATTGCACGATGCGTTAACCCCTGCCATTTGGGTTATAGAGCGCTTTATGAGTCGATAAGCGCCTAGGTGAAATATGTGCTAATAAAATAGATGAGAGAGGAAAAAAAGAAGGGCGGGGGGATGATGGCTGGAATTTCTTATGTTAATGGAGTTAAGTTGTACTCGCAATTCGCAGGGGCCGATACAATAAAAATGCGACAAGCCGTGTTACTGTAGATTAGTAACACAAAGGATTTCCAAGGGACAAACCTAAGGATCTGGGTTTATGCTGGCGGATAGGTCAGGTAAGGACTTATGGGCAATTATACAATGTGAGCGTCACCAGTAGTAAGAGCAGAACCTCAATTCCACTCTTGATTCTGTGTTAACAACTGGCTATCTAAGCTATCTAAATGAGCGTAGAGAAGTGAACTGGTATATCCAGTTGACATTTTTGGATCCTTGAGAATCAATGGTGATTCCCATCGATCTCAAGTTGAGTCGATACGGATCGAGGGTGATTGGTGTCGACGCGTTGCTGCTTGGTCTTTCGATCTTGATATAATCCGAAGTGGCCTCCCCTACCACCTAAACACACACTTAAATTAATCTATCTTTAACTAGCTTATGTGACGAATCAGTTTCCTATATGTTAGTATAGGATAATCTCTTAAGGGACAAACCTTTGGCGTTCTAGGTTTTATGTTGGCTGAACGGTCGGGCGGTAGACGAGCAATCTTATCACTAGCTATGTAGAGTGGTTTCTTAAATAACATCAATCTTATTGCTAAGTATGTTAGGTAACCACTGGCTATCTAACTATCTAAATGAGTGTAACGAAGCGAAGTTATATATCTAGTTCTGAGAAGTGTGCTCACGATCCGATTGGTGATCACCGATGTGATTCACTGAAGCTATTCCAGTGAGCGCCTTGCTCCCATTGTGTCGGCGGTCCGTACTTAATCCGTATGTACGTACCTTGGAGATGTGTTATAACAGCCATAAGATGCTGGGTCGCACCCTCTCCTGTAAACAATTCCCCCGCTTGCTGTTAGCAGCTTGTTAAAGCAGGGGGGGTTTCGCAGCGACCACGCCAACCCAGCCGCCCAATTTACCGTGCCCTTAACAGCACACAAAGAAGGGAATTTTGAGAGCTTCATACCTTCTTCGCCGCCCAACAAAGCTGGCTTTATTCCAGCGCCCCGTCACAATCGTTGTTTGGTTCGCAACAACTACTCGATTATCCGACTCGCCGCACGCCGTACTGCGGCAACTACTTTTATCACAAAATCGTTCTTTTGTTGGTTAAGAACGACCGCCTGATAACGTCGTAAGGCAACCCTTTCAATCGCAAATTGTTTTTTTGTAGGATCAAAAACAATAACCCGATTACGCCGTAGGGCATCTCTTCGCTGCTCATTCTGGGGGCACACCGCTGGCTACTTCATCGCAAATACTGTTCTTTGGGGAACGACTACCTGATAATGACGACGCCGCAACAATTTGGCTCTCTGCCATCCCTGATTACCTCTTAGGCACAGCTGCTGCCCAGCCTGATACAGCAAATACACCGCCTACGAGTTCCTTACGACAACTATAAATAGCTATAATAATCGCAACTGATTGCAAAGTGCACTACTCTACAGCTTGAGGTTATCCCTATAAGCGCAAGAGAACAGACACAGCTTGTATCGCTGCCTTTACTACAGCTATTTTTTTTCCGTCGAGATTCGCGTTACGTAAATAAATAGATCGCTTCGTTGTTGTATCCACGTCAACAGGATAACTTTGAAGATCCTATTCGGGCTTGTCGGAATCGAACGCGGACGCTGCTTCGTCACGAGAAGCAATTGGAATACGAAAGGAAGTGGTAGCAAGAACGCCGTCAACAGCGCCTGTGAAGAGAGAACCGTAAGATTCTTGAACAGGCTCAGATATCGGGCAAGAGGCCAGCAGACGTGAAACTGCGATTCCAGTCTGAAATATGAAAGACGTAAAACTTATTTTACTGAGTGAGACAGAAAAAAAAAAGGGACCAGAATATGATGCCGTCAGGTAACATATCATAATAATATGCTACACTTGCCATCCATGAGTGTGTGGATCTCCAGTCGTCTTCCAATGTGTGTGCTTGTACCTCTGAAGGGACCAAGTTCTTACAACGTGAGAATTTGGGGAGTTCGAATAGCGCCACGCGCGAGGATACTCTCGTTGCCATGGATCTTGTGCCGTTTGCGAGCTGAACACCGGTGGCTTGCGGCTGTTGATAATAGCGGGCGGTAAGAGAACCCTAGCAACCAAGGTTTCGGTGACAATAGTAATACCATCATCTAAAGGGAAGAGATTATCAGCAATCTCACGGCGAACCTGGCTTCGGTATTCAAAGAGGTTACTAATACCACGGGGTTGCTAGTATTGCTGCCATTGTTAGGAATCAGCTTGACACTACTTCCTGCCACGATGCAAAAGTCTTGTTGCGCAGAGGGAATTCTCGGTGGGTCGAACAATGCCCTGGATATGCATAAGACCGTCTGAGCCATGCTGCACGTGTCTGTTGACATGGTGCATCTTCAGTCAGCTTCATGTAGGTGAAGTGAGAAGCATAGCTCTAGCGACCGGAACCGACAGTCTCGACTTATGGTTCAAAGTCAAGCTGGTCACCGCGAATCCATCTGCCTGTTGATTCGTGTTAGTCCAGAAGACTTTACAGCTATAGTATCCTGTGTGGCTAGTTTAATCCCATGCAGCTAGAGTACGCGAATTTCGTATGGCGAGTTTCGCCTGAGTTGATGATAGTGCCGCCACAAAGAGCTTCGCCGCACGGCAGATCAATCCAGCGACTATCCAAATCTCGTCTAGGGAATCGTCCGGTACCTCTAGTCGCACTCACCGCCAATGAGTGTAGTGGAGTTGGGGAAAGCGATGCTCGGGTTACTTTTAGCGTTGCTTCCAGCTTCAATAACAAGGATGTTGATCGAGGAGTGCAAGTGGTGGAGGCGGCTTAGACACGACCGAGGCTGAAAGGCCGCCGCCGCTCAGGAGGTAATCCCAAAGCATGGCAGACGCTTCTTCTGCAGATTTGCAAAGGCATATTGCTCGGATTCGCTCATTCTGTCTTAGGAGAGCGGTTGAGCTAGCAAGGTATACCACCACCGCTCAGGCTGCGGGCTCCAGGAACGCGGATACCCAAGCGCACCATCAGCCCCAAAGAGCCTGGCTTTTGCGGGGTGGTTTCAGCCCATCCTAAATCCGGCTGGAGAAGAAGGGATCCCACATCTCGACAGGGGTAGATGGCGACTTCATCAGCGGGAAGCATACGCGACGCTTTAGTCCTTGCAAAGTATGAAGCCGCCGTCCGCACTTGCTCTGCGTCCCTATACATTGCCAAGGTTGCTGTGTTATTTAAATGGATTCAGTAATGCAGGCCTGTGGCTCGCGTTTGCCTCCCACTTACCAACCTGCTGCTCCGGCCGTACATGCCATTAAATTGCTTATCCACAAGGGTCTTTTGGCGACAAAACCTGATGCATGCTTCGATCTTGGGGGATTTTCTCAGTTCTCAGTTTGACGTGTTGCCAAAAGATAAAGCCAGCCACTTCCCTGTTAGACGTCTCAGTTCTAGATAAAGTATGAGTTCTGAGAGAAGATCCCAATATATTGGCACAGTCTAGTTCCGGCTCTTTGTTGTTGAGATACAGTTTACCGGTACTACTTAAGAAACCACTCTACATAGCTAATGATAAGATTGCTCGTCTACCGCCCGACCGTTCAGCCACCACAGAACTTAGAACGCCAAAGGTTTGTCTCTTAAAAATTACCCTATACTAACACATAGGAAACTGATTCGTCACATAGAGTTAGGTAAAGATGGATTAGTTTAAGTGCGTGTTTAGGTGTTAGTCTAGGTGTATGTTCCTTTTTTCACGATTTTCTCCTAATTTTTATTTAATCGGCCCTGCGATTCGGAAGTACAACTTAACTCCATTAAAATAAAAAATCCAGCGCCATTACCCCCCGCCCTTCTTTTTTTCCTTTCTCATCTATTTTATTAGCACGTATTTTACCTAGGCGCTTATTGACTCATAAAGCGCTCTATAACCCAAATGGCAGGGGTTAACGCATCGTGCAATTCGTTAATGTACTCTCTCTTTCTCAAGAGCAGCGACCAGCTGTGCAATTACACGCAAGTAACAGCATCACTTTCCAATAAGAGCTGCGCCCATGCCTCCATACACGGATGCCCCTTCTTGGTAGACTCGAATTCAAGACTGTGTACACAATGTGCAATAGCCATAGCCACCGGCCAGCCTTATTCAGATGTTTCGCCGCCCAGAACTTTACACTCGGAAGATTTGATTTGAAATACCGACCAACACGCACCGTTTTTTCTTTCAATGCCGCAATTAAGGTCCTGTGTGGTATATATTTGGTCCCGGTTTGCATTGGCGTTAGAGTCGTCTACCACAACGGCAAGGCTGGATATTACCTCCGAGCCGTGAGAAAGATTCGTTCATGACACAGGGAATTATCGCCTCAGCCGAGCATCATATAATGTGATGAGCCAGCCCCAAACATTCACCGTGGGTCCATGCGTTTAGTACGCCGATAATAGATCGTGATACGGTCGCACAGAATTTCTTTGTTCACAAATCCCGGCCGTGGAGTGGGGCTAGCGGTAAGCATTGGAAAGTGGCACGGGAATTAGTTAGAGGAAACAAAAGGGGGCATGAGCAAGTACCTGGTTTTTTGGGGGTCTGAGCTTAATTCGATATTCAGCCACCAGCAGCCCCTTGAGCAGAAAAGTGGGACTCATCGAGTGTCCGTCACCCAACCAGAATCTGGCTTTGACATCTTTCACCATAGAACGATGTAGTGGCAAGCTGTCTCAGAGGTCAAAGACGCAAATGACATAAGTCCACTGATCATTTCTATCTAGCTTAATAGTTTCTTTAAAACATACCGGTAAACCTGATGGTTTGATTCTTTATAGATGTGTTTTAAGAGGGATTTGGAATTAAGACGTAAGTCAACATCTCCGCTATTGCCACACCAACCCCTCGTGTAATCATCCCTCGCCACATCTCTAACAGGAAGCTAGAAGGAGAAGGGAGGGTAATGGCATATGAGCGCCGGAGAGTTGCAGTATCTAGGAAACAGATCCACAGGCATTCTACTATTGTCGTAGGTTGGCGAGGACCTCACTTCCCTCCCTTTTCATATAGTCAACAATAGAAAAAACGATCATTTTGTACTGGTCAACTTCCTGAATGAGCCTAAGGTTGCATAAATAATTGCCACCTATGCTACTCTGCCAGTGGTATTTAGGTGCAGGCATCATGGCTGCATGACCAATGTGGCAGAGGCGTGCGGGGGATTAGCCTCAGAGTGGTGGCAAATTAAATCTAATTACACGCTACAATTTAAACGATCAGCAGACAATTACTGATAGGGCTACGGAGTAGGCTCTCAGGCTATATAACAGATGACGATGGGTACTAGCCTCTAGCCTGGACTACGCGAAAATAGGCCCAGCTCGTTGTAAGTCTTTCGCTAACTGTTGCCACTCACACACATATATGTGTCACAAGCTGATGGGAAATGTATTATTTCTTCCTCCCAAGTAGCAAATTAAACAGCCTTACTATATTTTAAGAAGTAGCTACCATGAAGGCTTCTAAAGCCATCTCCGGCGGAAAAGGCGGCAATTGGATCCAACCTACTGTTATTAACGACGAGGATCTTATGTTTCATAACAAACCCTTGAGCTCCTGGTATGAA